GCACATGATTTGTACTCCCTGTGCTCTTTGTTACCTTATCAATTATTATTATTTACCACAGGGTCACTTTTACACTTTCAAATATATTTTTTGGCTATGAAATATTAAAGCAAGTTTGTGGTAATAATTTCAACAATCTTCACAAGCCCGCACTTCAAAATGTTCCGGACATTCTAGAAAAGGGATAGAGCAACTCCAAGAACCCAAGCAGAACACAGCCACCAGTCAAGGCAAATAATTAAATGGGGGGGTGGGAGGGAATCAACAATAAGAAAGTAAACATAAAAAGGATAAGTCAATAAATACATTTTGGTTATGGTTATGTCCATCAATGAGAAGAGTCAATTCACATTGAGAAGAGAAAACAACAAAGAATCAAAAGAAACCAACTGGCAACAACATGCTGTATACAAGAAAAACATTTAATTCAAAAAGAAATTTGTAGGCTGAAAGTCAAAGGATGGAAAACAATACTCCATGAAACAGGAACCCGGAAAAAAGCAGAGTAGCCATTCTAGACAAAGTGGATTTCAAGTCAAGAATGAGTAACAGAGAAAAAGAAGGTCACTATGTTCTTGTAAAAGGAGCAATCGAGGAGGAAGATACAGCAACCATAAATGTATATGCACCAAATGTAAGTGCACCCAAGTATGTAAAACAAATATTAACAGACATGAAAAATCAAATAAGCAGTAATACATTTGAAATGGAGCACCTCAATATCCTACTTTAACAAATCCATCAAGTAGACAAAAAATCAACAAAGAAATATCAGAACTACATCAAACTTTTGAACAAAGGGACTTTGTGTATGTACACAAAGTATAGACACAACATCAGAATACACATTCTTCTCAGTTGCACACGGGACATTCTCTCAAATAGACCAGATGCCAGATCATAGAACCAGCTTAAGTAAATGCAAAGGAACTGAAATTATACCATGCATATTATCAGACCATAGTTCAGTGAAATTGGAAATGAAGGGTTAAAAAAAACCCACAAAAACTTCAGAAACACATGGAAATTGACACCTTCCTAAATAACCAATGGGTCACAGATAAAATTAAAGAAGAAATTAGACTGGTTCTATAATTAAATAATAATGCCAGTAAAATATATCAGAACTTATGTGATACAATACAAGTAGTCCTGTGAGGAAAATGTGTAGCAGTGAATTCTCATATTAGAAAAACAGAGCATGCTCAGATAAACAACCTGATGTTGAACCTCAAGCTTCTAGAAAATGAAAAGCAAGCCAATCTCATAAAACATTCTGCGGAAATTCAGATCATCAATACCTACTTCAAGAAACTGTATTCCAAAAATATGGAAAGCACAGAAGAAATGAACAGATTTCTAGAGACATGTGAATTATCAAAACTGAATCAAGAATATATAAAAATTCTAATTTAGCCAATGTCAGTCAATAAAACTGAAAATGTAATTAAAAATCTATAAACAAAGGAAAGCCCAGGTTCTGATGGATTCACTGCTTAATTTTACAATAAATTTAAAGACCTAATTCTGGTACTTCTGAAACACTTTAATGAACTTGAAAGAGAACCAATAGACCTAAAATCATTCCTGGAAGCAAGTATCACCTTGATACCAAAACCAGAGAAGGATCCAACCAAAAAAGAGAACTATAGACCAACCTCCTTAATGAACATAGATGCAAAAAATCTCAGTAAAATACTGGCAAACAGAATGCACCAAATCATCAAGAAGATTATGCACCACGATCAAGTGGAATTCATCCTAGAGATGCAGGGATGGTTCAGCACACACAAATCAATAAATGTAATACATCATATTAACAGATCCAAAGACAAAAAACCATGTGATCAGCTCAATAAAGTCAAAAAACATTTGACAAAGCCCAACATCTATTCCTAATAAAAATGCACAGAAAATTAAACTAGAAGGTCTTTATCTCAATCTGATTAAAAGTCACCTATGACAACCAACAGCCAAATCATACTAAATGGACAAAAACTGAAAGCTTTCACTCTAAAATCAGGACTAAGACAAGGATGTCCACTATCAACACTCTTACTCATTATAGCTCTGGAAACATTAGCCAAACCAATTAGACAAGAGAAAGAAATATAAGGAGTACAGATTGGAAAGGAAGAAGTTAAATGATTATTATTTGCAGATGACATGATGCTCTCTCTACTAGAAGGCCCCCAAAACTTCCCTAAAGACTTCTAGATTTAATAACCTGATTCAGTAACATAGCTGAACACAAAATCAATGCTCAAGAATTAATAGCATTCTTGCACACACACAAAAACTCACTGAGAGAGAAATTTGGGAAACAATCCCTTTCACAGTAGCATCTAAAAAATAAACCTTAGGAATCCATGTAATGTAATGTAATGAAGATAGTAAAAAATGTTTACATTGAAAACTACAGTAGTGAAGCCAACCTGTGCCTCCAGTGTGCCAGCAGCAGCCATGGACCAAGAGGAGAACCAAGAAGCCAATCTGTATCTTCTTGTGAGGCAGAGGCAGCCATACATGCCAGGAGGAGAACCAAGCAGACAACCTGTGCCTTCCCGTGAGCCACCAGTGTGTGGGCTGGGAGACAAGAAGAGTCCTGCCCCACTCTCACCCCAGTAAGCAAGTGGCTAAGTTGGAGGAATACAGGCTGAGATGATAGCAACTAAAGTAAACAAAAACAAAAACAAAAAACAAAAAACAACTTAATGCTTGTGTTGTTTGATAGACTTTACAGGCCTAATGCCAGTAGACTGGGCATCTATTTAGAGAATAACAGTATGCAATTTAGTAACTATGGATGGTTTTCTTTTGTCTTGTTTTTGAAATCCAATATTGTTCTCACTGTTTTGTTGTGTTGTTTTACTTCCTTTAAAATAAAAACAAGTAAGAAAACTACAATACTCTGAAAAAGGATATCAAAGTGGATATCAGAAAATGGAAGCAATATCCCTTGTTCTTGATTAGGAAGAACCAATATAGTGAAAATGATCATACTTCTAAAATTGTCATACATATTTAATGCAACCCTGATCAAAATACTAGTGGCATATCTCACAGAATTAGAGAAAACAATTTTGAATAAGAAGAGACCTAGAAATAGCAATAGCAATTCTGGGCAACAAAGACAAGGCAGAGGGCATCACAATCCCTGACTTGAAATGTACCAAAAAGTTACTGTGATAAAACAGCATGGAACTGGCAAAAAGAGAATAAAAAAGAAAAAAAATATAGCAGAACAACAAAATAAAACAAAACAGCAGACCAGAGGGTCAGTGGGACAGATTAGAAGATGCAGAAACAACTCCAAACATACTCATCTACCTTACCTTTTACAAAGGAGTCAAACACCTTCACTGAAGAAAGATAACCTCTTTCATAAATGGTTGGAAAAACGGGGTCTGTGCATGCTGAAGATTAATTCTAAACTCATATCTTTCACTATGTACTAAACTACAATTGAAATGGGTCAGAGATCCAAATGTTAAAACAGAAATACTAACTCTGCTGGGAGAGAGAATAGATAGAACTCCTGAAGATGTTGATGTAGGCAAAGACTTTATGAACAACATCTCGACTGCACAGGAACTATCACAAATCAATAGTGGGATCTTGTCTTATAAAAAAGCTTTTGCATAGCAAAAGAAACCACCAACAGAGTAGAGACAACCCACGCTGTGGGAGAATGCTTTTCCAGTTGTTCCTCAGACAGAAGACTGATACCTGGAGTATACAAAAAACTCAAAAAACTCTGATTCCCCTGCTATTTAAGACCCAATATAAAAATGAGCATTTGATATGAATGTGCATTTCTAATATAAAGAAATACAAATGAAAAATAAAAATATGGAAAAGTGTTCAGCATCACTGGTCATTGAAGTCATGCAAATTAAAACAATGCTGAAATTCTATCGCCCTCCAGAGAGAATGGCTATTAAGAAGTGAATCATTAACAGATGCTGGTGAGGCTGGGGAGAAAAAGGAACAGTTATTTATTGTTGGTGAGAGTATAGATTGATATAACTAGTGTGGAAATCAGTATGGATATTCCTCAAAAAACTAAAACTAGGGGTTCCATTGACCCAGCTATTCCCTTCTTGGTATATTCCCAAAAGAATTAAAAGCATCATACCACAGCAGTATATGAACCCTTATGTCTATAGTGGCCCAGTGTGTAATAGCTAAATCTTGGAAACAGCCCAGATGCCCATCAACTGATGAATGGATGAATAAGATGTGATTTTTATACAATGGAGTACTACTCTGCTGTAAAGAACGATAAGTTTGAGACATTTCTATGTAAATGCATGCAAACTGAGACCACACTCTTAAGTGAAAGAAATTGGACACATATGTTTAAATACTGCCATGTTTTTCTTGTGTGAGGAACTGAAAGTATAAATAGGGACCAAAATGTATAATTAGATATCAGGAAATGTGAAAAAACTGTTCAAATAGGAAGGGAAAATGGAAGCAAAGCACTTGTTAATAAAGAGGCAAAGGAGGATGAAGAGAGGGGAGGTAAATGGGGAAAAAAGAAGACGCAAGAGTTGTCACGTACAGGCACAAATTCCCTTTGATGAATATTATTATGTATATTTAAAATGTGCCGATAAAATAAAAAAATTTAAACATGTAAACAATGCAGACACATGTAAAATTCTTCAAATCCACATCCCTCTCCGAGACGAAACCATTGTAAGTAACTTTTGGTGCATCTACCCAGGAACTGTCTCTCCTTCCATTAATGTCTACCGTGTTCCATCTATGCTTTGGAAAATGCAAATGACTTCACACTAAATTATTAATCTGTGTTGTGCTTTGTCCCTTAATGATCTGTATCCAAGGCACCTTTGCACTATAGCAGTTCAGATTCAATCAATTGTCCTATGTCTGCACAGCCGTTTGTGAGGAAGTCATCGTAACTTGTGTGTCTGTACGTTAGGGAATTTAGGTTGTTTACTGCTCATGTGTTGGTTCTTTCATTCAGGGGTAGCTGTGAGTCTAGAAAGGACCAAAGGAGAGTTCGATAATCTGTCCGTGCTGTACAGAGACTTACTTTACCTACTGAGTAGCTTCCTAAAGCACTGGTTCAGTTTTATGAGGGGACATTAGGGACCATTTGGAACTTTTTTATTTTTTAGTGAAGTTTTCTACTTCCTACACTCTTGCCTGGTCAATATCTCATGGACTGAAGATCTCTTAAAGCCACTGTTCAGCTGACAGAGTCTTTGAACATAAATTTCCGTTCGATAAAGGGAATGCCGGATATGGGCTTTTGCATCCAACCTGTACCCAGAAACCCCCTGGCCATCATTGGCCACGTACTTGGAGCCTGTGTGGCTGCATTTCACTGGGGGACAGGGTCATAGCTGCTTAGAACAGAGGCAGCTGCACTCTGCAGATGTGGGAGACAAACGCCAGGAGCCCAGATTCACACCGGCTGGATTCCTGCTGTCTGCAGGTAAGCCCAGCTCAGAACCCACCATCCCACTCCATGCACAATCTAAAATTAGGAGGAAGAGGCCCACCTGCTCTCACTGATTTTGCAGTTGTGAGCAGTGTTTCAGGGAACACGGGATATCTGTTTCTATGTGTATGGGCAGCTGCCCAGACCCAGAGCCAAGCTTCTAACCAGCACAGATCCTGCGTCAGTGGCTGTGCTATTATCAATTGTGATAGATCTTGGCATATAGACAATAGTGTTTTAAATCTGTGGAGAACACTGGGTTTTAAAGGAATGTTCTGGTAAGTTTTTCTGAAAAGACTCCTTGAGTTGTGCTAATAATCTCCCCTGGAATGTATTTGCTGCACAGATTTGGAACTTTGGAGAAAACATTTTTTTTTTCCTGTAAGCAGATCTGGTTTCTAAAGTCTCCATGGTGAGGCAGAGGGACCGGCCAGGGGAAGGAGGGGCTGTGGTCCGAGGCCCACAGCTCGTGGAGCTGGATCCCACTAACTGGCTTCAGGCAGAGGGTGAGAGCCCTGCCATGTGGGGTTCTGCTCTGTCAGTGCGGAGCTTTGAGACTCAGGGCAAGCTATGGAGCCTGATTCTTGGCAGGAAGAGGGAGGGGAGGAGACGCCCCCAAGAGCCCTGCCAACAGCAGGACAAGGGCAGCTCTTAGTGGGTGAAACCTGAAACAGCCCACAAGTGTAAGAAAAGAGGCCTGGCCTCCCAGAAACCAAAAAGAAAAAGAAATATGCCCACTGGCAACAACGGAGTATTATCTTCACTTATCAGATGGGCAAAACCAAAAACACAGAGATACCTAGTGTTGGAGAGGTTTGGGGAGCTGAGCACCCCGGTCTCCTCCTGGACGGATGCTGACCTTGTGGTCATCCTGCAGGGAAGCTCTGTGGTCACCGCTCTGCAGCTACATCTTCCGAAATCACTGCTGTTCCATTTCTAGGAACTGGTTTTAAGAAAATAATTGAAAATATATACAAAGATGTATAGTCAAGGATGTGTACGAGCAGACTTGTTTCTAATAATTAAAAGATAGGCCTTAAGGTAAATGTCCAAAATGAGGGGTTGGTAAAATGTTGTGGGTAAAAATGGCATTATGGAATTAGTTTTCTGTGGAGGATATCTCATCTACTCTCTGAATTTGAAAATTAAGTGGAAAACAAGGTGGCAGAACCGGTTATATACACTGGGACATGTGTAGTGTTATACTATATATTTAGTGTTACTTCTATATCTATATCTACAGGTATGTATAGTTGTAAAATTATCTATACATGTTTGTGCATACATGTGTGTAGATGTGTCTATATACGGATATTATGTGAATTTATGTAGAAAATATTTGGAAAGATGTGATTTAAATGTCCTCTGTGACTATATTCAGTGACGCAGAATTTAATTCATTTTGGTAGTTCTCTGCATTTCTTGAGTTTGTTTTTTTGTAATGCACCTGAGTTATTTCTGAGACCAGACACGGAGTTATTTCTATAATCAGGAAAATAATTTGTCACTCTTTATGTAGGAAAACAAAGAAAGCTGTTATGTCTGTCTCTGGCTGTGTTAGCCTACAGTAGGGGCTGGGGATTTAGCTTAGTGGCATAAGCACCTGCCTTGCAAGCATGCGGTCTGAGTTCGATCCCTAGTACCAATAAAAAGACTTTAACCCCTCACCGAGACTGTTTCTAGTCCTGGCTACCTTAGCACCCCCTCCCTGGTCCCAGCCTGCCTTTTATTATGATGGTAATGAAGGCCGGAGGGTGATAATGACTTCCACCTCCCAGCCCTACTATGGACCCCTGAAGTACCATTCATGCATTCTTTCATTGGACCCTCAGCATCTCTGGAGGGGCAGGTACTCACAGGACCTTGACCTTTCTAGAGGAGCCTTGAATGGGAACTTCCTGCAAGTGTCTTGCAGAGGGAGACCTCTCAGGGGAAATCAATAATGGGTAAAGGAGAGAATTGCATGAGGCAGGAGAGACATTGAGCAGGGATGTGGGTCATCTGAATATCAGCTCAGCCAGGGCCCGTGGAGGTTAGTGGAACCATAGCACTGTCCTCCCTGGGGCAAGGCAGTGGTGGCTGGTATGTCTGTATTGGTTGGTCACTGGGAATAGGACCATGGCTACCCTTGGAGATGGGCTTGGCTCTTAAATCTCCAGTGAGGCAACCCCACAGCTCTGGGTTGGTCTGGGAAAGCTGTGAATAGCTGCCACTGCCAGGAACCAGAGCTGGGTATGCTCGACTAATACAGAGGGTCTGAAGGGACATATTTGTCAAATGATTCATGTCCCTATCTCACAGGTGTGGAGCCTGTGGCTCACAGAGGTGGAGTAACTTAGCCAGAGTCACTCAGTATTAAAACCAGGGTTTGGAGCTCAGGTTGGAAGCCCATGCCCCCATCCCTGAAGCTAGGCTATTAGTACTTCCACAGACGGAGAGATGTGCTGATGTAGGTGGGCGCCCTCCTGACAGCTTTGCCAGGGCCCCATCCATCACCCATCAGTGTTTCTCCTTAGCACTGAGGCTGATAATTGGTTTCAGCTGGGGGTTTTGAAGAAGGAAGTGACATAAAGCCTTTTGTGCTTCTGCAGAGGGCCCTGAAGGTTGTATTGTTGGAGGAGCTGGTTGCTAGGAGACGTGTCTCAAGAAAAGTTCCTTTGGAAAATGAGCTTCTGCCCTGTCCGCAGCCCAACATTATTATACCTGGCAGAGTAGCATCCCAACATGTGTTCCCCCACAGTATTAAATGGTGGATCGATTCCCTCTGCAACTGGTCCTTCTGGGCCACTGTTCAGGGTGTATCTCGGATGGAAAGCAGTTTCTGTGACTGACAGACTCAAAGTCTTAGAGAAAAAGAGCCCTTTGAGGTACTCGGCTTGCATCACCATCCTAAGTGGCAACATGAGGCCCAGAGTGGAAGGTCCCCTCACAGTGAGCAAGCAAGCGACTTGATGGCCTCTCTCTCTGCATCACCTCCCACGGGGCCTGTGGGGTCAGTCAGGACTGGGTGCATTTTCCTTTGCTAATCCTGTGTTTCAAAGCCTTTGTGGGGTGGACAAATGATGACTTTGCCTATTGGAAACAAGCAGCTGGTATTTATTGGGCATTTATGTGCCAAATACTGGGTTAGGGTGCTTTAGGATCTTTATATGCTAATGCTGGCATTTGGAGTAAGCCTCTGCTGCCTGTGTGTGTTTGTGTGTGGGGGTGCTAAGCACTGAACTGTTCATGCTAAACAGGTGCTCTACTACTGAGCTATATCCCCAACCCTTACTTTGATTTCAAGATACAATCTTGCTACTAAGTTGCCTAGGCCAGTCTGAAACTGGGAATCCTCCTGCCTCAGCTTTCTGAATAGCTGGGATTAGAGGTATGCACCACCATACTTGGCTATTTTTCCCTCCTTCCCTTAATTAAGGATCAATTTTCCATTTCTTTGTATGTCTAGAGAGTTCTGAAAGCATACTGGGTGTTTGCGTGTGTAGCGTGTTGTGCAGACCATGGATTCTGTTATCTTCTTCTTAAGAGTGCCACATTTCATGCTAGCAGGCAGTACTAGTTGATTCCTTTAAATCCTCTGGGCTGGGCTCTGCACTTTATTAGGGATGAGTTGTGCAAAGCCTAAGCTGTTTCTCAATCCCCCCTAAGTTTTCTCCTCTGAGAATCTTGGAGGATTTGGCTTTTGGCTGTGTTAACAATGCTTACCGTTCAGTCCTGACCTTTTGAGTGTCTCAGCCTGACGCCTGGCGGGAAGATCTCTCCATGTGTCTCCCTTGATCTTTAGTGTCTCACTTCATTCCCAACCCCATTGCAGCTTCTCTCTGCTGAGTCTCCTCTCGTGTCCATGTCCTGTAATCCTTAGGTATGGAGCACGTGCCACAGATGACCACCTCAGACTCTAGGGGGTCTCCTAGCTTTGCACCTCCCTCCTGTCCAGTGCCCTGTCCTGCAGATTCCCTCTACTTTCATTGCTCCAAACCTGACCTCTGCCTCTGCGGCTCAGAGGGGCTGAACTGCTCTGATTGGACTCCATGGTCCTGTGCCACACATGGGAAACTGTCCCAAGCTGGGAACCCAGGCTGAGGGCAGTGGTCCTGCTGCTCACTGCTTGCCGTCCACTGCCTGAGAACAGTTGTCTCTCCTCTGTCCGGTGCTGTGTGGCTTCTGGTGGTCTCTCATGGGGTACAAGGTCCTTCATTGTGGCTGCAGCAAGTACAACTCAGAGCAGGGTGTTCTCTCCTCTCTCTCTCTCCTCGCTTTCTCTCATCTTGGAATACTCACAAGGACTCCAAGAAAGGGCTCATGGTACTTAATTTAATAAGGACACCAAGGTCAAAGAGTGCAAAACGGCATAGGGATAGAACGATAGCGAGGCTTGTATGACTTCAGGGTCCTGCCTCTGTCTTTGTGTTGCTCCTGTGTTCAGCAGAAAAGCTAAAATTTGCACCATTAAATTTCACTGTTACTATTAATAAGAGAAATAGCGCTTTCTGAGCTGTATGTCCCTAGATCTCGTCTCCACTGCATGTTTGGATTCCTGTTTCTGTGAGCCATGTGATCACACTGAGCTGCTGGTCCAGGCGTGCCTCACTTTTTACCTGGATGATTGAAGCTTTTGTTCCTGTCTTCCAGTCCTCTAC